TTAAATGAAGTTTAATTTTCTTACCAAATTACTTGACTTCCAATATAAGATCTTGTGGTGAATCGGGTCAATTTCACACAGCAGGAGATCAAACAAGCTTCTCTGTTTAAAAGCGACTGTCACTATTGCTGACATCCGTCTTGTGAAATAGGATGTCAGAACAACTTCTATTCTAACTCTTCATGGTTGATTTTTTATCAAGATAATCACAAAAAGTTTTAGTTTTTTCATTTTTTTTTCTACGTAGCGTCTGCTCAAAGGATGCCTGAAACTTTGCAGAGAATTGCACATCCTGTGAGTGATTTGATTTTTACAACATAAGTTGATGACCTATGCACTGTTTTTGTTTAAAAAGTATAGACACTGAAGGAATATTTAGTGCAGAATTAAAACTAGAGCAAATTTTGCCTTGTAAGAAATGCACCTGCTGTATAGAATCCTTGTTTGCCACCAGTTGTCGGATGATTTCCATGCATACAATGACTTAAATGTTAGAATTCGTGCAAACTGCAGATGATATCTAACTATGCATGTCATTGTGTGGTCATCTGTAGCTTAGACTTACATCTGTATGCTAAGTTATCAGTGTTCTCCTATTGTTCTGTGAGAAAAAGGGAAGATGCTACTTTTCTGTTTCATCAACATGACACAATCCTGCAAAGGACGACGTTTGCAAAAAGTGTCATGACGATGTACTACCAGCATATGTATTCATCAATAATATAAATAGAGATGATTTATTTTGTTGAAAGTGAAAGAACCTAAAATTGTGGTCAATACGATCAAGAGACTTCAACCAGGAAAACTAGAGTGGTCGTCACAAAGAGGACGAAGCGAAACCAGACAACCAACTTCCCTTTTCTGCTTCTTTTTCGTAGTTTTTCACAACTTTTTGTCTGCAACATGACATGACATACCTCTGACCACTTCTCTCAGACAGACAAGTGAAATACAATCACTTGCAAATAATATCTAAACCATCAAGCTTTTACGGTACAGACTTGAACCACTTTAAGTCTTAAAACTTTCCATGTTTCAGGTTTGACTGAATACATGGGATCTAAGTGAACTCATAATCGATCTGACAGTTCATGAGGAAAGAACTAAACTTTATTGTTAGTAGTGAAACGTCACCAACAAAATATTCTGGAGAAAAATTGATAGAAGATGAGAAGACAGTGCAGACTTACACACTGTGCTACGTCCATAAAGTAATTCTGTATGACAATATGTTCAGTCATGGTTTTAATCTGTTTAAACTGTTTTTTAGGGAAAGAAAGGGAACAACAAAGTTCCTGAATATTTCATTAAAACTCTTTGTAATCCAAATAGCAAGAAAGTGAGAAAGATTAGTTTAAAAACATACAAAAACATAAAGCTATGTCAAAGAACTTTGTTTAAACATAAATAATGGGTGAAACATAAAAAAATATACTGTTTTTAATATGCTCAAGTTTAAGCTTTGAAATAAAAAAATGAATGCATAAAAATCATTATGCATTAATAATTATTATTTTTATACAAATAGTTTTGCAGAACAAACCGGGACAAACCACTGACACAATGCAGAGCTTTCTGAGTACTGAGCAAAGAGCAACCAACCAATAAACTCATGACATGACAGAGAGAATCCAGCAGATGGAGACAAACACACAACAGGTAAAAATCCTCTCTGTTTACATCAAGAGATTTAAATGGCGAAACCTGCAGGTTAAAAAAATAAGAAGATAGAAATATCTTCTTATAATAACATTATCTGACATAACTGTTGAGATGATGGCAGTCAATATAAATATAAAATTTTATTTTATAATTTTGGAGTTTTAAAAAACTGGATATGTCTCACTTATTACTGAATTAACTGACTTTAATGAAGTTATTTATGCGTTAATTTTTCTCACACATTAATACAAAATGTAGTTTCAAATCATCAGATAGGCATGAAGGCATCAACTGCAACAGTTTTTTTTTTCTTTTATTGCAGTCAAACATTCTTGAAACCAAAACAGGAAGTAAAATTATTGCGCCGGTTAATTTGTGGGCCAAAGATGACAAATTGTGCAGCTGATACTTTTCCAGTCATTGTAGCCACATCAGTTCAACTGAGTTGGTGATGACAGCGGTCGAAAGAAGAAGTGACACAACAAAAGGATTAACATAAAATTAATATGTACAAATATGTAGGTTTTACATTGTTTTTTACATAAATCTTAAATATTTTTGGTTGGAGTCCAACTGTAGGTTTTCAAAGAAAATAAATAGATTCTTCTTTCCTTTGAATAGTCCCACCACAATGCCTCATGTTACCCAACTATGCTATTTATGCACATTCAAAACACAAACCCCGCATTTTAATTATTAAATCACAAATTAAGCAGCTGGTGGTAAAACAAATGTCATAAAGATCAATAAAGAATAATAACAGTACATAAAGGCAGAAACACGACGTTAAATAATTCAAGGAGAAATGAATGGAGAAATGCACCAGAACATTTCTGACCAGAATCTGAAGATGAAACAATGTGGATTTCTCAGCAAAACATTTTCCCCAAACATACCCAAAGAAACTCCTGATCTGTTTTAGAGACAGTAAAACTGCTAGAATGGATTGGCCAATCACCAATAAAAAGCTGTGTGAAAAAAACCTGAAGATTCAAGTTTGTTTAGAAGATATTAACATTTAAAGACAGTTTGTGTGCAAGAATAGATCAAGTATAGCACCTGAACAAATGTGTGACTAGTTTTTCTGTGGAAAACATGTTTGAAATTTTCATCAGCAAAACAGTCATTTTTGACAAGCATTTTAAAATTAAGCCAGTTTTCTATTCTGTCTGCTAATGACATCTAGTGTGAATTTCATTTCTGTCGAATATCAGAAATATATCTGTCTACTTTTGTCTTATTTAACATTTATTTTTGCCTGCTCCATTCTTTTACATCTAATACTGGAACATAAGGTAATGTCACATAATCTTTATGCATATCGGGTTATTTTGTCTTCACTTCTGCGTAGAGAGACTCCGGACTGTTAACGGTTCGTGCCGAGCCGTTTGCCGGGTCGGACATTTTGACCTGAGCGTAAACTACCTCCTGCTGTCCGCCGTCCTGCAGTGAGACAGCAGAAGCTTCAGCTCTTCTCCTTTGGACGTGGACTTCTTCATAACAGAGTTCCTGATCTTGTTTATTGCCTGACATTTCCACGTAAATGTTCTCATCGGTTTCACTCTGTGAAGGACAAAAATGCAGATTTCTTTCAAATGCTGCCACAAATCTTGAAATGAAAACTCGCTGCGTTGCTAAACGAGGACGTTGAACGCGTCCCTACCTGAGTGTGCTGTGAAGATGAATGTTTGAATTTGAACCACCTGGAAGACAGTTAGGATCTGTCAGAATAAGTCTGCTGGTTTTTTAAGGTACCAACACAAACTGAGAGGAGGACAAGAATGACTTTGGAGGATCAAGATCAATAAGATCAGATCAGATTGAAGCTAAGATGGAGGAGACTGAAACAAGTGTAAAAACATATTAAATAGGCATTTACTAAGATGTCAGGGCACACAGATCATCCAACATCGTGTGAGCATTAATACATCTGTTTATGACACTCACCAAACCAAGATCAGCAGCCAGATGAGCACAATGGCAACAATCACTGCGAGAAGTACGATCAAAAACAGAAAACTCCCTGTTCATAGAAAAGAGAAACAAAGTTTAAACAAATGTGCATTTTAAAAGGAGTAAAAATTATTTTTAGAGCACATCAGAAGAAATGTAATTAATGTTTCCAGTTTGGTACTAAAACAATACACACATACACAAACACACAGACACACACTAAACATCAATACTGAAATGGACATCATCAAATGGCTTTGGTCTTACAGTTCTGAATATCAATTAGTAATTACCTTCAATGCTAATTTGGACCACTGATGATTGCTGATCACCCAGATCATTTGTAGCCACACAGTAAAACTCTCCTCCCTCAGTAGCGTTGAAGCTGTAAACCTGCTCCACAGACACATTAGTGGCTCCATCTGTGTTGTTCCTGAACCAGGTGAATCTGGGTGGAGGTTTGGCTCTGCTGGAGCAGCTCAGCTCCACCCAGCTACCTGCTGACACCAAACCTGATGGACTGATGGATGCTGAGGTGTTTCTAGGAGCATCTGAGGAAAATGAGACACATGAACTTTATTGATCACAAACAGCTGAACCATGACCTGCTGACAGGATCACTTACATGAAACACTGAGAGTCACTTCTGTCTCTGCTGTCTTGTTTCCTCCAATCACAGGATATCTGGCAGAACAGCTGATGTTGTATCCATCATGTGTGTCTGACAGAGTGATGTTCTCCTGGATTTTAGTTGTAAAGGTTCCATCTGTGTTTTTCTCTGTTTGTCTGAGAGAGTCTTGTTGGAGATTCCAGGTGAGTTCAGGAGGTGAGTGTGGACAGGGAGTGAAAGCTGAGCAGGTTACAGTGACAGACTGATGCTCCTTCAGGTCAGAGGGAACATTAATGCTGGGACTCCAAGGAGAATCTGGAGTTTCACAAAAATAGTAAAATAGTTAGTCTCAAATGATTTCCGAATGTACTTTGACCCTTTTAACCATTTAAACCCTCCATGCAATTAGTTTTTTATTTTTTTTTTTATTTTCTGTATTTCTT